TTTTTTTATTTTTTATATATTGGGAATTTTTTTTTAAATATTAATGTTTAATTTTTATATTTTTTATTTATTATTTTATATAAAAATAATTTAACAATTCCTCACTATTAATCCCTTCACTATCAATCCCCTCACTATTAATCTCCTTACTAACAATCCCCTCACTATTAATCTCCTCACTATTAATCCCCTCCATTTTATCTCCCAAAACAAGCAGGGCTTTAGAGTTATTTGAGAACTAAACCGGTCTCGACCTTTTTACAAAAAATTAGAATTGCAGTTGAACTATTGAGCTTATTTAATGCGATCATAATTGAATCATAAAAATCAATTTGGTTTAGAATTTTTATAACAGGAGGTATAATAAATATTTTATAATAATAAATAAAATAGCAACAAGAAGCATAACTAAGTATTTGAAATTGACTTTTTTAGTGACTTTTGTTAATATATATTTTTTTTGTTTAGTATTTTTTTTTTTAAAAAAATTAGACTTTTAGGTTTTACTGGAGTAGACGAACCAAAAAAATAAATAAAAATTAAAAAAATTGAAAAAAAGTCTAATAAATACAAAGTTGGCTTTTTTGATTTTGTTGTCTTTTGTCAACTTTTTTTTTATTTATAATTTTTTTTGGTTTTATTTTTTAGATTCTTTTATACTAGATGAACTGAAAATTTTTTAAAAAAACATTTGACACAATTTTTTTTCTTTAAAAAAAAATCACTAAACACAAAAGAAAGAAAGAAAAAAAGAAAAAGAAAAAAAAAAGTGACGTTTTTAACTGATTGCCGGACAAGGTCTGAGTTGGTTGTTTGTCAATTTCCATTGCCAAGAAACTGGTGTTCCTACATTGTTCTTTTTAATTCCCCTAAAAAAAGTTTAAAATAACAAACAAATATATAACTATTTTTAGAACTATAACCAAAGTCTTAAAACTAAGAACCGGATCAACATTGCAATTTGAAAATTTTCATTGGTAAGTTATTATTACCATTTGATATGATCCTTATATCCAATATACAAATATTTATTTGTAAAAAAGGCACATCTATATTTTTAAATTTAAAAGTGATTAATGGAGAGGGAGACCATAAGGTTTGACATTTTTAACAGGCTTGGCACTGCCTTGATAGAATTTCAAAACCAAGAAATAGATTATTGTAATTAGAAGCAATCAAACAGAAATTGGGTTCCATTGAAAAAGAAAGTACAGTGACATACATAGATATTGCTTATTGAATTAAAAGTTGAAAATTTCCATTAAAAAAAATTAAAATTTTGGGTTTAGTATTTTTCATTAGCATAATTATATCAATCAAGCCCTTCGTGGCGACGCAATTTCAGAGCTTCCTTTCTTCTTCATTGTAAAAATGCCACTGATTAGTGGTATCAATGGCTTCTTCTTCTTCTTCTTGAGAGAAGGATGTCTTTCTAGCACCACTGCATCACCTTTTGGTGGTACCATGACTTGAGCTAACGATGGAGGATTCGCAAATGTCACGTACCTCTTCTTTTGAAACTCGAGTACTTCTCCTACTTCATTGCTTAATTTTCTGGTTTTGACACCGAATTCTTTTGACAAATCATCGATTAAGTCCACGCCTTTTATCTCGGCCTCCATTGCTTGTTTTTCGAATTCCTCCCTTACCTTCAGCTGTTGAAGCTCGTGTTTGGTCCGTTCGAGCTCTTCTTGTAAGGAGGAGAGGCAAGTTGCCATTACCATAGTTTCTTCCTTTGCTTTTTGGAGGCTTTCCTTTGTCTCCTCTAGCTCTTCTGTAACACTTGGGAGTGTTGAAGTGTCATTCCCATTTTCACTTTCTATTTCATTCTGCATCTAGGTGTTCATCCATAAGAAAAACTAATTAGCAGGACGAAAAATGAAATTTATGATCCAAATTTAGATGCATCAAGTCAGTTTTGAATTCATATTATACACTTATTTTTTTTCAAACAAATATAATAAAATCATATAATTTTGAATATTTGATCAATTTAATTTTTTTCATAAATAATTTATACAAAATATTACAATATGAATTTTTCAAATCGTTAGAGTAAGACCCATGTTAGTTTCCATGAGCCCCAATAGCAAAAAGAGAAGAATCCATACTCAATTGCAATAATGTTAGGAATTAGGAATTTAGATAAAAAAATGTTTAAAAAGAAATATTATATGGTCTAAATTCAATTATTCAAATGGTAGGACCATTACATGCTTAGTATAAATTTGAATCACACAATATTTTTCAATATTTTTTTATATCTAAATTTCTTCATGATCCCAAACATTATCATGAAAATTGAGGTTATAGTTCTTATCTAATTACATTATGGGTGACTATGAATTGAACATTTGTTGGGATCAAACATTGTATCTACTAGTTAAAATAATAATAATAATAATAATAATAATAAATAAATAAATAAAAATTATATCTACAGTTGAGTGCTTGCTTATGAATACTCCCAAAGAATTAATAACAAACACTGTTAGGGAAATAGCATGCATACATGCAGGTTGGTATCTCTTGATAATGAAACCAAAGCGATTTATTCTCTCTATTAAAGCTTACAATTATTATTATTATATATATATATTGTAAATAATTATATCACAATAGTTTTATTATTTACCTATTATATACCTTTATTCCATCACCTGATTAAGAAAAAGCAAAAAGAGCCTACACAAAGGCAACTGGCAACGGTGTTAGCCACATCAAGAATACTTGAATTCATGTTTAAGCAAAGATTTTTCAGTTTCTTTTTTAGGGTGTTTTCAATTGTACTTGTACATGTCATGCATGCTTGAATATGAAGCATTTAGTCGCTATATTAATTAACCAAATATTTTCAACTCCCAAAATAAAACTTGGAAAAATTTTTAAAAATAAAAGTTATATTGTATGCATAAAAAATATATAGAATAGAGGCAAGTCCACCAATTTTGTTCATGTAGCAAAACTGTAAAATTCAAGGATATCCATCATGCTATTTTCCTTTTTGGGACACAAATTTTCAAATTCCTTTACTTAATATACCAACAAGTCAGTTGCAACACATTGTAATTAAGATCACAATAGTTGTTTGTCCATGCAAAATCAATTACCAATGAGTACTAGTAGCAATATATAAACACACACTCACAAAAAAAAAAAAAAAATACATGTAAAATGTTGTGACTGCATTTAAACTTACTATTTGAGAACAGAATGCCTAATTAATGGCATTTTAGTCACCATTATAAGAACTCATTGAAATTTAAAATATTATTTAATTTTTTTTAAACCCTTTTGTTTTATTTTTTTCAGTAATTAACAAACTAATCACATTGTTATATTTAATGATTTTTTTTTAAAAAGATTTTTCTACAAATTTTATACTTTTTATGTATATCAAGATTAAGTGGATTTAAAAAGTAAAGAAATTGCTTAAAATATTTTTAAAAATCACTAAAAATACAAAAATATGAATTGAAAATTCACAAAATTATTTTTGAAAACTCCAAACCAAACAAAATGAATATTTCTTGGAATTAATCTTTAAAATTTATAATGGTTCTCATCTATCACACAAAATAAAAGAAATCATTCTAGAACTACAAAATGCACATTAATATTTGACCTGAGATACAGGACTACCTCTTTGAGCTTGTTGGCATAGACCTCCCCTGCAAGAACTCTCTCACCAAACAACATAACAGCCTCTTTCACAGACCGGAATGGGGCTGTTGTATCTATTTCTGCTCTTTTCTTCATCTTCGCCACCACTCCCTTTTCACCGTCTATGCGGCAACACTCTTAGAGAGAGGAGTGTACTGTACTTGGTGGTGGATTCTAATTCAAAGAAGGTGGCAACAAGGATGACCTTTTAATTTGATGAGAGAGAGAGAGAGAGAGAGAGAGAGAGAGAGAGGATTTGTTGAGGATGAGAGAGAAGAGGAGATGAAAACACCATGCAAGGCAAGAGGTGGTAGAGCTTCGTTTCTTGGCGTCCACTTCACTAGAATTCTGTTATATGTTTGTTCTTGTTTGTTTGAAGGTGAAGCTGGTTGTTGGACTGTCTTATTATAGTGGATCTAAGGGCCCAACTTGATTATGTTGGGCAGAGAGAGAGAGAGAGACACTTCACCTGCAAGCCCAACGGAATGGCCCCCACCCCACCCTTGAAAAAATAAGGGGAAATTACCCATAGGTCCCATGTGGAACATGTGAACACCATTTTACAGTTTATTAGATGAAAATAGTTTAAATAAATTTTTTAAAAAATTAATTATTTAAAAGTTAGGAGATGAATATTTTTGACTTACGGCTCGTTTGGGAACATATTTTTTTAGTAATTTTTTAATTTTTTAGTTAAAATATAATGTAAAAAAAGTTAGTATATTTGAGATGACTTTTTGACTTTTTATGAAAAGATATGCAAAAAGTAGAGAAAAATGAGAATATTTGACATTTTGATATAGTTTGTTAGTTTTTTGATTTTTTTAGTGACTTTTTAACTAAAAAATCCACTTGCCAAACGAGGCCTTAGTTGAATCTTCTTTTGGTCACACGTCTTGTTTTAATAAAAATCACAAGAAGATGACCACAAGGTTTCAAAGAAAAAAAAAAATTAAGAATGAAATTATTTTTTGCTGAAAAAATATTCGATCATGCTACGTAGCTCGAATGTCGCGGCTCGAAACGCGGCTCGACACCAAAACAACGTCATTTTGGTGTCGATTTTGTTTTTTTTTTTTTTTTTTTCTTCCCTGGTTTTGTAGAACGAAGAAGAAGAAGAAGAAGGGAGGAGGAGGAGGGAGGGGAGGGGGCCATAAAAACCGGTTTGAGGAGGAGGGGAGGCTGGGCTGCGACGGAGGCGGGGCTGCGACGGAGGAGGAAGCAGAGGCGGCGGCGGGAGCTACGACGACGGCGGGAGCTGCGACGACGGCGGGGCGGGGAGCTGCGACGCCGACCTTCTTCCTCTCCCTCCCTTCTCTTTCTCCTCTCCCTCTCTTTCTCTCCCTCTCTTCCTCTTGAGCCATTTTCGAGCCTGGTAGCTTCGAGCTACCAGGCATTTTCCAAAAATATTTTAGCTATTTAAAGTGTCATATTATTAATTTTATTATAAAATTAGACATTTAGTGATGAATAATTATAATTTTTTGGATAAAAAATTGTCTCCAAAAATAAATATTAATTTTACCATGAAATTGATTTGTTCTCAAAAGTGAATTTATTTGTGACTGTTAGGTTTTTGTAATTGGTAATCCTGTGTGACAAAATTCATTTCAGTTGTAATTTTATTCGTTCTTTTATTTCAGTGAGACTATGAATATTTAGATGCGAATTCAATCCGAATTGTGCCTATACAGAGGAGTTTGTGATTTTAATCTTATCATGTTTACCACTTCGCTGACTATATCGGAGATCGAGCTGTTCGTTCGCTTAAGTAAAGGAATGTGCGCTCGAGCGAAGAATCTTTGCTCCCAGAAGTTTTCACTGACTGCAAAAATACTGAGAATATGCATTTCTCACTTAAGCGACACTTTGGTGGCTTGAGCGAAGACACTTGGAAAATCACACGTTTTAGTCTCCTCGCTCGAGCGACTATCACGGCCCTGTTTACTATAAAGTTGTGTTTTAGTCAGAATTTAGAGTTACGGCTTCCAGATCTTCTTCTTGGGTATTAGAGTTTTCTTCTGGAGCTTCGTTACTTGTTTCTTTTGATACCTGTGAGAGTTTAATCATGAATTGAGTGGATTATATCAAAGGGTTTGTTTAGTTTGTTTTATTTACAAAAGCGAGAGTTGTTCTTCGGTGGATTCCGAAGTGGCTCGTCGTCGTGGATTCGATATCAGCATTGTGGATTTAATATTGGACAAGACAATTTCGATGTGAAAACGGTGGTGGAAGAGACACATTGGGCTCGGATCAATTTGGGTGTGGATTCGCTAGGGAATTGAGAGTACACTTGTGTAATTCTTTTTTGTCTTCTTAGTGGATTGTTTTGTGGTTTTGGCCTGTTGTTTTTTTAATCACAATTGGAGGCACTCAAATTGTCGATTTGTCTTTGATTGTTTGATTGAGATTGCTATTTACTGATTAAAATTGATAAATAATCACAAATCAATATCTCGAGAATATTTAGATTTTTCAATGACATTTTCAAATTTTGTCATATTAAATTTTTAGTATGAAATTGGACATTTAAGTGATGAATAACTATACTTTTTGGTTCAACAATTGTGTCAAAAAGTAAATATTATTTTATAAAATTGTTTTGTTCCTAAAAGTGCATTTATTAGCAACATTTTCAAAACATTCAAAACAACCATCTAGTGATGACTCTTGTTATCGTGAGAATTGGTCTCCTAATATTTTTCGTAACAAAATTTTTAAATTTTAAAATAAATAAAAAAGTAATTTCTAATATTCTTATATATTATAGTAGAAGTTCAACTCCACTTCATGACACCCTCGACTAGGGTTGTGCACAAAATCGCCAAAACTGCTTCTAACCGCTTTGAATTGCATATTTTTTCAACTTTGGTGGGTGGGTTGGGCGGGTGGGACTTATTTGTGTTAGCATATTAATTGCAAGAGGTCCTTTCCTCATGAAAATTGCCAACCCACGTAAGCAACCGACTCGACCGGTTTGTCAATATTTCAAAGTCTGTTGCTATATATACAATGCAAACACATGGTAGCAAATGTAAATATACTCTCTCATACGCAATAATTTCTCAATTAAACCTAATTGACACCCAAAACATCTCATCTCATTCATACCCAAGCATCATCACCAATTCGCCGCTACTCTCATTCACAGCCAAACACACAAACATCATCGCCAATCGTCGCTACTCTTCACTCGCCGTTGCTGTTCTCCACTTTCCACCACAGGTCTCCACTCACCACTGCTGCTCTCTTACCGTCGGTACGTACCTGTCCCTCTCTCTCTACTAAGGCTAAGTAAGGAATCCGTGTAATCTATAATCCAATCCGGTACAGTCCAATCCGATAAGTTTGAATTATTTTTTGAATTCGTGGTTTGGTTCCAGATTGGAAATTTATAAATTTGTAGGCCACGGATCGGTTTTGGATTGAACTCCACGATTTCGGATTGAAATTCATCCAAACCATATATAAATAATCTATATTTATACTGTATACCCTCCCACATAATATCATTTCTTGTTTCATATAAAAGCTACACCTTAACCCTAATTAAACCTCTCACGCCGCTCATTCTCACTGTCTCTGACACCCATCTCTCTATCGGCATACTCTCTATCTATTCTCTCTCTTTCAGACTGAACTGTTCTTGTGATTCCATCTCTTCAAATCATCCATCTCAAATCGGTAGCTGTAGCTAGCTCTCTCTCTCTCGGTGAGCTTTCTCTTTCGGTCTGCTCCCTCTATTCTCTTTCTCTTTCAGTACTCTGTCTCTCTCAAACTGAACTGTTCTTCTTGTGATTCCATCTTCTCAAATCATCCTCCTTAGATCATCCATCTCTCTTGGTGATCTCTCTCCCTCTCTGTTGATCTGTAAAAAATCTTTGTCGATTGTTGATCATTGTGCTTGTATCTCAGATTATTGTTCATCTCTGTTGATCATTGTTCATCTTAGATTATTTTTTTGTTTTTATATGGGTGTGTGTATAGTTTTGTCTTTAAAAATCTTTGTTGATATGGGTGTGTGTATAGATCTGTAAAAAAATCTCTACTGATTATTGATCATTGTGTGTGTATCTCAGATTATTGTTCATCTCTGTTGATCATTGTTCATCTTAGATTATTTTTCTATTTTTATATGGGTGTGTGTATAGATCTGATTTTATCTTTCAGTTTTTATCTATTTTGAAGTAAGAGATACCTGTATCATTGTTAATCAATCTATTTGTAAGTAATTTTTTTTTTATTAATTTATCTGTAAGTAATCAATCTATGTGTAAGTAATCAATCTGCCATACTTGTATCATTGTTAAACAATCTATCTATAAGTAAAATTTATATATGGGACATATCTATTTTGTTATTTAATTATGGGAATCTGTGGTCTTAATCTGATCCAATTCGTGTTTAAATGCATTGGTTCGAATTGGTTCCACGATTTAAACGAATTGGATTGGTTCCAAATTTTCAAGAACTGTAGATAACGGATTGGTCCTGGTTTTACCCTAATCCGGACCATGCTCACCCTTACTCTCTGCTCTTTCTCTCTCGGTCTGCTCTCTTTTACTCTGCACTTTTCTCTCTGTCTCTCTCTCTGTTCTCTCTTTCGTTCTGCTCTTCTTTCTCTCTCTCTCTAAAGTTTGGTATGCATGACTTTGTTTCAAATTTTATTGACGGTAATCGAATGCACACCATTTTTAAAGAATTTGATATTTACGCCTGATGCTTCTCTTTACTTCTTCACCGACAACTGCACAATTCTTGGGTGTGCTCAATTCTATCTCCCTTTATCTTTATTTGGTGTTTCCTTTTCTTTGAAGTTCTGCATATATATGTATACATATTTGTATATAATGTTATACCTTTTTATCAAGTGTTTCTGCACATGAAGCAAGATTTTAATATATAATATGCTTCACAATAGAACTTCAGAAAGAATAATGAACAAAATCAGTAGGTGTAGACGCGCCCTTGGGCCTCATGCTACAGTTCGGACTCAAATGTCACGGTTCTTAATCTGATCTCACAATGTGCGATGTGAGATTGATAAATCACCAAAGAGTCCAAATCCGGCAAATCGTTTTGGAAAACTGATTTTTGATAAAAAAGTGGCAAACATGGACTGCTTTGCCAGATACAGAGTCGCCACCTAAATATTTTATTTTGGGGGTAATTTAGGAAACCTTGACTCGTGCCTAAGGCCACATGTCCGTCATCACCAAAGTTGCCTCGGCTCGGGAACTTGGGTACGATTGGGGAAGGTCATTTAATGAGCACCCCCGCTCGTCCGATCAAAGATCGACCTTTACTAAACATGATATCAATTTTTGAAAACATTGTATGTTCTTATTCCGGTTA